AACCGTCCATTTAATTTGATGAATATGTAATTTATAGAAGTTTTGATTATTTCCTAATATAAAGTATTAATTATAATTAATGATCAGTATTCATATTCCATAAATATTTAAATCATAATAAATGAACTCTAATCATTTCCATAAATATTTTAATTTATTGAGTTGCATTGGTTGTACAAATGCGATAGGTTGTATTTGAAATAAACCCTATATATATATATATATATATATATATATATATAAAGAGAGAGAGAGAGAGAGAGAGAGAGAGAAAAGTAGTTGAACAAGTATTGTGAAACCTGAAATGGAATGAACAAAATCTCCATTGATGAAGAGGTTTGTGAAGCCGATGTTGGGAATCCTCTTGTAATTCTCTGAACTTGTGCTTCCGTCCGCCATCACCATTTATACTTTCCACCCACTACTACATATCAATTTATATATATCACCATCTCGCACGACACTATTATATATAGAGAAAGACTTGTCTGATCAATTATTGATATTAAATATTTTATATATTTAATTAATAAAGGGTGTGTTAGTGATTTTGGTAATTAATACTTTTATTATGCAATTTACTTGAATGTCTCAACCAAAATTCAACCGACTTATTAAGAAGATGATGAATCGGATCTGGTCTCAACAGTAGGTATCATAGTGGGTTTGTGTCTTACTGTTTAGAAATTGTTTTGTATCAATGGATATCATAATAAGTTTATCTCTTAGTTTAGAAGTTTTTGGGTATCACAATAAGTTTGTGTCTTAATATTTAAAAGTTTTTGTGAACTATTATGATGAATGATACATCATTCATGATCCATGATAAATTGATATATCATCCATGATGAATAATATACATTAGTGATGATAATACATCATTCATGATTAATAACTGGTGAATGTATTGAATGCATGGTGCACTCTTCTTTGTCACTTGATTCACAACCTAAAACTGGTTAGCCGATTTCCTTAGCAAAAAAAGAGGAAGTCATTTGTCTCTTCGATTGATTTTCATTCAATATCCATTTCCCACAGCATAAACGGGTCAAAGATCACCCTAAAATTGATTGAAAAGTTGCGGTTTGCAACCAAACTCATTACCTGCCCATATATATTGGGTTAGGTTTCGATGAGGAGAATTAAGATGAGAAGCATAAGAAAAGATCTTCACCCTTGAATGCACATTAGGATGAGATGCACCGATATTAGATGCATCGAGATGTACCATATCAATCCATATATGAAGCGACTCATAGATGAGTTTGAGATTAAAGATAATCAATGGTTCAAATCACTTCTTATATTTATCATCTTAACTCTACTCCTCACACAATTATTCACCTCTGTAAATATAATCTTTTCATGTGGTGTAAATGATGCCACATCTCGGTTTCCATATGGTTTTCAACATCTCCTTTACTTGGCCATCAGTGATATCTCATAATCGTATACTTTGACTTTTATATAAATCGTGAATGCTCTAAATCCAATATTTTCAACGATATTATTTTTCAATGTGATTTTTAAATTTCTATATTGTTAACATCACAATTTTATTTTATTAAGGGGCCGTTTATCATACTTACCTGGTAAGTGTTTATTGATAAATTTTAATACTATTATGTACTTACCGGGTAAGATTTTAGTCCACCAAAACAACATCGTATGCAACAATTTACCCGGTAAGCGTTTACCTTGGTAAGAGTCGTCGCCCTCACTTACCGGATAAGGTTCTTGGTCCTTGTCTCGCTCTTACCGGGTAAGGTTCTTGGTCCTTACTATATTCATCCGGTGAGTTAATGTTATTTGGTAAGCACTTATCCGGATAAGCGTTTGGTAAACGACCCCTAAATATTGATACAAAAATTAAATACATCAATACTAATCCTATGTGTCACTGAATATAAAAGTTAAATGAATCTAACCGTAATTTTATTGAAAACAATGCTATATATTAATTTGAATGTTCAAAAATATTATAGGTTCAATATTGCTCTCGATGTGCTTTTAGCCTAATTCCACTGTTTCGAGTGATTTTTAAGTTCTTTTTTCTTGATTTCAATTAACTTTTAGTTTTTTAATCAATTTTGAGGGACTTTTTCAGTTTTTTTTTTATTTCAAGAGTTTTTTTTTCCGGTTTTTTGGTTGATTACAAGGTACGGTTGCACCTTCTTGAGCTTTTGAATATCATGCGGTGGCATCTTCTATAAAAATACAGTTGCACATTTCATAAAACAAAAAAAAAATTCCATTTCAGCAGAGAGATAATATGGTGGCATGTGCCATCGTATTCCCTTCTATGTCCATGATGGTGACGGGCGATAGAGGAGAGATGCGGTGGTTCCTAGTGAGGGAGTCGATCCGACGAACACGAGATGCACCTGATATGTGGGTTTTTGATAAGATATACCTATATAATATTTATTCTTAAGAAAAATGAGATAAAAACAAGAAAACCAAATTTTTCTCACTTAATAGACATTTTTAACAGAGTCAGTGATCAGAGATCATTTTCAAAACAAATGAAAACCACAACAAAGATTTATGGACTTACCAAAATTTAGGTCTTACTTTTGGAGTTTTCGTTAAACCTCAAGGACCAAAACTAGAGTTTACTCTATATATTTTAAGTGCCGTTTACCAAATGCTTACCGGAGTAAGCGCTTACCAAATCACATATTATCGGAGAAATATGGTAAGGACCAAGTATCTTACCCGGTAAGAGCAAGATAAAAACCAAGAGTCTTACCCGATAAGTGAGGGCAACGACTCTTACCACGGTAAATGCTTACCGGGTAAATTGTTGCATACGATGCCGTGTTGATGAACTAAAATCTTACTCAATAAGTAAATAATAGTGTTAATTTTTACCGATAAACACTTGCTAAATAAATGATTGGTAAACAACCCCTTATATGGTCTTCCTTATAAGCCTCTTGTTATTTTAGAATCCTAATTTTTTGTTTTAGGAAATAAGACAATAAGAGGTTCTTTCTAATTTGTATCCATTAAAACCTTAAAAAAAATACACCTAGGTGTGTAGGTAGTTAAATGATGGAAACTTGAAAAAGTCAAAGCTGTCAATTGTAGGTGTGTGAATAAGAAACGAGATTCCTTCAAACCAATCTTATCCCTCGTTAAAAAAATCCGATCAACCCAACATAAAATAACTTAATCAAAGTATTTTAATGTCTAATCGAGTTGTAAAATTTTAAATCATAGGTATTGAATTGATATTAGGTCACTATTATCTGAACTCAACTCAGCCCAATTAACCTGATATCCTTTTATTTCTTGGATTTAATATGATTGTTAAAATTCTATTAATATATACATTAGATAATTACATCATCACGTACACTCTTCATATACACATATTTTCAATCTATTCACCATCTCTATACAACTCAAATATATATATATATATATATATATATATATATATAAAGAGAGAGAGAGAGAGAAGTTGGTTCAAATAGAAACCAACCATATTGTGCAAACTAAACTAACCAACCTTAACCAATCACATTCTTTCTTCACTTTAGGTTGAAATCTAAATTATAAATTAATGATAAGGGTAATTTTATAATTTAACCTTTTTGTAACCCCCTAATAATTAATTGGGAGTTACAAATCTTAAAAGATACCTCTAATTAATCATGAGATTTTTCTGATTTCTTTATTATTTCATGTTCRTGTTCTTCTTTTCAAGTTATGTTCTACATATATTGAAATTGGTTGTCTAAGTGTACAAGATTTTTGTTTCGTCCAAGATACATGGAGAATCCTATTGTAAAAGAATATCAGAATAATGAAAACGATAAACGCTTGCAGTCTATGTTCATATCTGCACACATGCACAACGATCCTTGATTTTGAAATTGTTCATATATGTGCATCTCTTGCAGTCTATGTTCATATATGTTCACCATATGAACAACTTGTTTTCATTGAAAGACACAATCGTTGTTCACACGAACCCGTGACGATGTTATACGGTATGACATTGAAAAACATCACACCATATGAACATATTGTTTACATTGTAAGACACAGATGCTGTTCACACGAACATAAGGCCGACATGTGAACATATATGAACATATGAACATAGTGTTTACATTGCAAGACACAGATGCTGTTCACACGAGCATAGGGCCGACATGTGAACATGAGTTGTGAATATGAGTTGTGAATATGTTCATAATCGATCGTAGGTTACAAATCGGCTGGAGAATATCGGGTTCACGATGCGTGAGGATTTATTACCAAAATACCCTGTGAACAATTGTTTATAAGCAGCCCAATTAATTTAATGATTAATTGATTATTTTTTAATACTCATTTAATAATGACCGTTTGACCAATTTATCTTTTGAACAATTGTTCATACACATATCAATTAATATATTAATTAAATTATTGTTTATTTAATAATAACCGTTTGATGATAAAATGAACGATCAAGATCGGTTCACATAGTTTGTACCATATGGTTGGTTTCTATTTGAACCAGCCCCTATATATATATATGTATATATATATATATGATAAAGTAAAAAGTATGAATAAGTTGTATCAAATGGCTAGATAAATAACATATTCATTGTTAGAAGAATATTTTAACGTACTAAAGTATCAACCCGACCAACCACTAAGATTTGGGTTGGGTTGCACTTTGGTTTGGGTTGGGTTGAGTTAAGATTTTTCAAACCTCAAGTATTGGGTTAAGTTGTTCAAATGTCTTCAACCCGATCAACCCAACCCATGAGCATCTCTACATCTTCCCATCCTCATCGAGGAATATAATCACATTCACATCCCCGTCTACAACGGGAAACGGGGATCCCCAACGGGGAATTGGGGATTTTTTTCCCCGTTACTATATTTTAAATCAAATGTCTTAAATACCACATTTGATCGATAATGGTCCATGTTTAAATCTCACATATATATTTTCAAAATTTGCTTTTATAGAGTATCAAAAATATTCAAATGTGAACAAAATCACAACATCATATGTTTAATCCGATGCTTTCGACTTTCAACGTTCTTTATCCACAAAAAGTAAGACAACTTAGAAAAAATGTATATAGAAAGAAATGTTAAAATATTATTTCTTAATCTAAAAGATATTAAATATAATTATATAATATATATATATATATATAAAATATTCGGGGAGGGGACCACGTTAATCAGCCCTATCCCCGTCCCCGGTTTTTAACTTTCAAGAATCTCTATCCCCAACAGGGTGGGTATATCGGGTTTTTCAATGGGATGGGTCCCATTCTTATAGTTAGTCAAATATATTCATCAAAAGTGTATGACAATACATCCAAAAAAATAGATAATATAAATTTGAATAAAATATATTATCTGATGTTTCTTCATTTCATTGATTAAACATGAATGAGATGTGTAATTTTAAGAC